TTTTTTTTTTTTTTTTTTTTAATCCTCACCAGAGGATATTTTTTTCCATTGCTTTTCAGAGTGAGTGGAAAGGAGGGGGAGAGAGAGAGAGAGAAAGAGCGCCCAACATGGATGTGAGACAGACACATTGATTGGTTGCCTCCCACACATGCCCCAACTAGGGCCTGCAACCGAGGTACGTGCCCTTGGCTGGAATTGAACCCGAGACCCTTCAGTGCGCACAGCCGACTCTGTAACCACTGGGCCAAACTGGCTAGGGCTGCACCCACCTCTTTATGAATGTTGGGCCCTGTGAGGCTGGCACCAGCAACTGGCATGGGAGGTGGTCTCTAATGCTGGCCTGGGACGCAGGACTCGTTGGCCAGACCTTGGAGAAGTAACTGCATGTCTCTGTCCCTGCAGTCCCTAAAGGAGCCTGCCTGTGCAGTTAGCTTGCTTTGTCACCTTCCTGTTCTGAGCCTCAACTTCCTCATCTGTAAAATGAGGGTGTTGAACTAGCTCATCTCCATTGTGCCTTCACCTCAAATATTACCTCCCCGGGAAAGAGGAAAAAAGAATCCAGTGACCGCCTAAGATCGCCTCACCCATGTGGCCAGCTCCATACCGACCAGACCCAAGCTAGCCTCACTAGGCACTTATAAAGAAATGGCTCGTGGTACCTGATAGGTGAGGTTTTGTGCAGGTAACCACTGTGAGTACAGGAGCCCTAAGTGAGTGAATGCACCTTTTGTTGAGCCTCCCATGTGCCAGGCATAAAGTGAGGTGCACTCTTCCTCCTGGAGGTAGATGGTGTCCATGTTGTACAAACAAAGAAAAAGATTCAGAGACATGAGGCATCTTCACCAAGCCAAGCCTTAAGCTGGGTGCCAGCAGCGGCCTAACTAAAGCCTGTGGCTTTTGCCATTTATGGCGTTACTCTGCCATGCTGGGCCACATCTGTCTTGGGCTGGGAGTTTCTTTGGGAGGACCGAGGCGCATGGAGATGGTGGAGGTCCAAATGCTGAGGCCTGACTCTAGGTACTTTGGAAGATAGGAAAGTTCTGAGACTTGGCTGCCTTCTCTAGGGTTTTATAGAGTCCAGGTGAGGGATAAGCTCAGATGGGTGGAAACAATACAAGGCAGGGGGTCCTAAGGGCCCCTGTAGGACTTCAGAGGAAGGAAGGGGAAGTGAGGAAATAGAGGGATGTGAAGGATTGGTGCCCTTCACTTAAGGAAGGAGGGAGGGATGTCCTGAGAGCGCAGGCAGCTACCTTTGATGCATCTGGAGCTTGTTTGGGGGCCTGGAGGAGATGGGGCTGCGGCAGGAGCAGAGGGAGTTGGAAGCAGAAAGGCAGATGGGTGGGCTCTAGAGCCTCTTGTCCTCTCACCGTGTAGCCAAGCTCAGCTTCCCTCTACCCAGTTTCTTGTTCTGTCCCCATCGCTCCAACTTGGCTGTCATCCTAAACGAGTCCGTAAGGAAGGGACTGGCTCCTGAATGGATATGTGGCAATACTTTACCCACCCATGAGGCCAGTGAGGCCGCCCATGTGCCACTCCATCTGTCCCCACAGCTGGATGAATTGCTGGTGGAACAGATGACTGAGTCAGGGTGCCTGGGTCTTACCCAGCCGTGCTTCTTGGTGAACTAAGCTGCATGAGCCCTTTTTGGGCCTCAGTTTCCCGGTCTGCACAGAGGGATAGGCAGCAGGCCCGTCATCTGCAAGGGTGGCTAAGATCAAGTAAGAACTAGAGGGAGTAATAAGCCAGGTTTCCTGTGACTTAACCTCCCAGACTTTGATCACAGCAAAGGGTCTGTGACCTGGCAGACGGGGAGCCCACCACCTCACCGGTAACCGCGTCGGCCTCCATTTGTTTCCTGAAAGGTGGCCAAGGACAGGATAGGAGCGAGCTTGTAGCCTTGTGAACACTTCAGAACCTAAAGATGGAAACCAGAAGAAAAGGCTGGAAACATCTGGCCCAGGGGAAGGCTGGAAACCAGGATCTGAGCTGGGAATGCGGGGAAAGATTCCCTATCCTCCCCCTCCCCCACCCAAACAGGAAACTTTATGCTGAGAACTTGCTATTTAAGGGGCCTCCAGGGAGGTCTGGCCAGAAAGGAGCCTTTTGACGAAGGGTTTAAAATTAGCCGGGGTGAAATGGGTGGTCCCTGGGGAGAACTGAGGCAGAGGTTTCTGTGGGGTGGCTCTGGTTCAGCCTCTTTGACCTAAACCATATTCCCTGTCCCAGGGAGGAAGAAGTAGTGATCCAGGTCTACCCAGCAGGGCCCTGGCTGGCTTGCACTCTTTCAGCCCATCTTGGGAGCAGGCTGGGTGCTCAAGTCCTGGTACCCAGAAGCAAGTTTCATCTCTACCAGCCCAGATGAGTCCCAGGTCTGCTGCCTTTCAGGAAAGGCTGCATGACCCGAGCAGGTCAGGGAATTTAAAGGCCCTTCCATCAAAGGGCAGAGTGTAGCAGATGGTTGCCCTCTGGAGTCCAGGGGCTCGGTTGAACCCACCCTGGAGCCTTGGCTGTCCAGTTTCTCCCAGGTGCTTCTGGGAACAGGCAGCACTTGAATACTGTGTATCCAGGGATGCAGAGCTGCGGGGCTGTGACATGTACTGAACCTTCACCCCAGGCCTGGGAGCAGAGGCATATCTGGGTAGGGAAAATGTGACTAAAAGGGAACAGAGTGCCTTAAATGGCAAGGGCATGCTTCTTGGCAAAAACTCATGTGAGTGAAGAAGCCAGTCCTTACCCATTTTTTATCAGGCATGGGCTGGGAGTTTTCTGGTGGGGGTGGCGACACTGGGTACCAGCAGCTATCCATGCTGGTTTCCTTAGACATCTGGCTCTGTT